GCAAGTGCTCCCGGCGTGCAGCTAGAGACGTGACCCCGGCTAGCAGTGCTCAGAGTGACCCACGTGGCAGACGCTGGCCGTCAGCACGGAGCAGACTGGGGCGGGGTGGAGGCTGCTGTAGACACAGGCCATCTCCTGGAATGAGCCAGCTCCGGGGCAGAGGGAGAAACTGGAGGATGTGGCCAGAGCCCCACAGCCCTGGGAGCAGGCCAGAAGATGCCAAACCCGTCCGTCCTTTCCTGTCCCTCTTCTTTCCTCCCTCCCGCCTGCCTCGTTCTCCCTCTCCCCTTGCCAGGCCATATTCCCCTGGGCCGCGGATGGAGTGGAAGCTTGTCCGCACCACCTTGAAATCTGGAGGGAAAACAGCAGCTTAGAATCTAGCCCAGGCACAAAAAGGGTTAAAAGTGGCTTGAGTTTGTGGGTGTAGCCAAGGCCTCGGTGTGCATGAGAAATGGGCAAGAGCGGGGCAGGGGCTGGGCAGAAAGGCCCCGGGGAAGCTGCTGGCAGAACTCCCTTTGCTCGACTGCGGTAGAGTCCTGGGAGCGTCTGCAGAAATGCTCTGCCGTGGGCCCCCGGCGCTGGGTTCTGACAGTCCGTGCACCCCTGGGAAAAGGGGGTACAGCCCTTCGTCACAGCGCGAGCAGAGGAAAAAGCCTCCTCCCTGCAATGCAAACACCCAGCCCCGCTGCGGGGGGTTGGAAAACAAACAGGCGGAATGAACAGGAAACAGTAGTGGGGGAACCTGTTACCACATGACCCTCCCCCTGCCTGTGTCCGGCCCAGCCCAACGGAGACAGCCGCAGCAGCCAAGCTTGCGAGTTTGCATCCCTAGAGCGGATGTGATCAGAGCTCATCAGATCTCTGGGGGCTGAGTGTGGGGGGTGACGTGGGTGCACGAGCTCCCTTGCTTAGGTCAGAGGGTTGCAAACTTTTTTTGCGTGACCCAGATGAAGACAATGGCTGATGCCGCAACCCAGCAGAATGTGACTGAAGTGTGGGCTGTGGCGCGGGGCTGAGGACGGGAGCTTTGGGGACAGGAGCACCAACTGGAGTGCGGAGCTAGTGTTGGGGCAGAGGCAGTGCACCAAGCCCGGCGCGCTCTCCTCTCCCCTCCCCCGCCCAGTGCTGGGGTGCGACCTGTCGTCTGAAAACAGCTGGCTTAGAGCTGGGAACTGCCGGCCTGGATTACACCCATCCTGGTCCATCGACCCCGTATCCCAGCTCTGGCAGTGGCCCAGCGTCAGCTCCTTCAGGGGAAGGTGGCAGGACCGTGGCATGAGGCAGAGGTGGGATACGCCGCCGCCCTTCACGGGTTCTCTCCTGACCACTAAATAGTAAGAAACTAGCGTAAGCCCTGGAGCATGAGGCTGAAGAGCCCTGTCAGAACCTTCTGTGGCAACAGCCCTGGATGTTCCAGTTCGCTAAAGAAAACACCAATCTCCTTTCTGAATCTCTAAAGCCACAGCCAGCTGCCTCCGGCCGATCCTCGTTGACATGGGTGGAATTCAGTGTGAAGAGAATGAGAACCGGGTGGCAGCAGGCAGCGATCCATGCCTGCCAAGTGAGAAGGGGTGATAACATGTAGCGCAATGTTTGCATTCATGCAGCTCTTCCCAGCCATAGGTCACAAAGTGCTTCACCAATGGCATTATCTGCCCTGCTTTACAGATGGGGAAACTGAGGCACAGAGCAAGGAACTAATTGGCCCAAGGTCACCCAGCATCAAAGCTGGGACAAGTGTGCCAACCCAGTGCTCTAACTGCTATATCACACTGCCTGCTAGGACCATGCTGCCCTTCCCCTATTGGCAGATGGGTGGCAGTCACAGCTTGCTGAATCCTGGCACTCCTAAGGTTCAGGCTAAGAAATACTAGTGTCTAGAACACGATTTCTCAGCATCCCCTAGCGAACAACTAAAGCAACAGGCAAGAAGAAAAAGAAAATGTCAAATGTGTTTATTTTATATAAAAAATTTGTACAGTTTTAGTTCCTATATTTATGAAAAAACCCCAAAGTTCCTAACGTGGCCATAATGCTTAGAATCACTGCAAATGTAAAAACAAGCTCTTTATATATTAAAAAAACAATTTTACATTTTACAATTTTCTACACGCATGCACAAGTTATCAACTCTGTAAAAACCAAAACAACAAAAAAAACCCCTCTGTAAAAACCAAAACAACAAAAAAAAAAACCAAAACCTTTCCCTCAAACTCAGAGCGGAAAAACAAACCCCTAAAACCTTTCCCTCAAACTCAAAGAGCAGAAAAACAAACCCCCTAAAACCTTTACATTTACAATCTCACTCCACCGAAAAAGCTTTACTTTTTTGGGAACTAACCCCCCCCCCCAATTCTACCCCTGTAAATGTGCACATGGAAACATGACAAGATGGTCCCGACGACAGTGAGAAATCCTTAAAACGGTGTTGGCTAACGACTCCCTGGAGGGCCAGGGAGGGGGAGACATGGACGGACAGACTGGCCCATCCTCGGGAGGAGAGATGGTGACAGTAATACGAGCGATGGCGAAAGGCAGCACTAGTGGAGGCAGATGTTTGCACGAAGCATTGTTAATGATCCAGATGTTTTAGCTGGAACCGTTCGTCCCTGCGAATTGAAGCTCGGGGTTTACAGCTGAGGGATTGGTTTTCTAGGGGAAGTGGAGGACGTTAAGGGATTTCCGAGACTGGAATGAAGGGCTGTGATTCTCGGTTGTCCTGGGTTTTTGTCCTGCCACGCACGGGGCAATGAGGAATCACACCCTGGATTCTGATCTTGGTTAAACCAGGGTCAATCCAGAGTCACTCCACTGACCTCTGCGCCTGACCCTGATATAACGAGATCCTGGAATCTGGATGTGAAGTTGAAGCCAGATTCCGATCTCAGAGAAACCTGTGGCAATCCAGAACCTCCCTCCGACACGAGGCAAGACGCTAATGGAGCCACGCAGGCTGAGGGGTCTCATGAGAAGATGATGCAAGAGGGTGGATGGGGGAGCCGGCAGCATGGTGGGTAATGGACGGGCCAAGGTACAGAGCAGGATGGAACTAGATGGAAACGAAGGGTTAAAAGCCCCAGAGTCAGACTGGTCTTAGCTGCACCTGTGCAAATCCAGAGCCACTCCACTGATGTCACTCCTGATCTACACCAGCGTAAGCCAGATCACAATTGGACTCGGGCTGTAAGCACAGAGGATGCTGGGAACGGGGGAGGGTGTGTGTGTGAAATTCCCCTTGTGCGGAGGGGCTTTGATCCCGAAAAAGGGCCACGAAATCCACTGGGGGCTCTGCGATTGATCTTATGGGGAAGGGGCCCCGGTTCCCTGGGTGGCAAGAGAAATCCCTGTGCTGGGTACGTAGACAAATGGATAGATGTCATCAGCCGCATGGAAACATTTAGAGCAGTGAGGGTGCTGAAAACCCGCCCCCTTATCCCTGTCTGCTCCCCCAACCCAGTTGGGGGCGGGGGCAGGGGCAGGGCAGCAACCTGGGGGTGCTCCTCCCCCCCTTCCCCCGTTTCCACATCTATGGATGTTATCGCAACGTGCACCAGGTGGAGGGGCCTGCCTGGAGGATCTCAGCTCAGAAAGAAACGTCGTTGACATCCCGGAGGTAGTCAGAGAGTTCCCACGCCTGTAAACCTCCGAGCACAGCGTGAAGGAGGCGGGGAAAGAAAAAGAACCGCCCTCCTTTTGGAAAAATAAAAGGAAAAAAATAACCACAGATCTGACTTCAAGGGCAAACCACTGTCAATTTCCAGCCCTCTCGCCAAGTCACAGCCCTTTAATAATGTCAGTGCTTGAAAAGTTGAAGTCACAGTGACGAAATCCGGCGAGCCCCATGACGCCCCCAAGCTCCCACAGCAGTGCAACGTTTTGAGCACCCTCCCGCAGCTCCGGTCTTCCCATCACACCCAGCACAGATCGGTCTGCACTCGGCAGTGGCACAGACGGTAGAAAGAACCCAGTAGAAAACCCGTGAGGTATTTGTAACCCAAAAGACTGTGTCTCGGTTGGACTTAACAAAAAGCACACGTGTGTGTGCACACATACACACACACGCACACGTGCACACGCACACGTGCACGCACAAAACCAGACGAAAACCCACCAAGGGAGGGGCCCATCGTCATGCTGCCACTTACAGTTGGGGACGGTGGGGGACCTCTCCCCAGCGCTGCAGCTGGCATAGGCAGAATTCATACAGGCCCATGGGAAAAAGGGAGGGACAGTTCTCGTGGGGAGTTCTACGCACATGTGCTGGCTAAATGGGACAGCGGGGTAAAGGGGGGAGGCCGGGGCCCAGGAATGAGTTGCAGGTTTCTGCTACCAGGCTTCTGAGGATCTGGGTGGGAGGATCTTAGGGGCCTTGAGAGACACCCGCAGCCTTCTCAGCCTGATCCTCCACAGCCTTGCACCTTGCCTTGCTCGGACCCTGACACGTGTGCAATCCCCTTGTGACTAAATCTCCATCACCCTGCACCTGGGGCAGTCCAGGCCTGCTCCTGCTCCTTTGAAGTCCCTGGGTGCGTTGCCAGACCCTCGCTGCACCAGTGCAACACCAGTGTGAATGCACAACCATTGTGCTTTGCACTAGAGACTGGAGTTCACAGCCGTGTCAGGCACCGCAGAGGATCGGACCCAATAAGGCAGCAAGCTCAGAGCGTGCATAGGCACTGACAGCATCTGGACCCTGGTAACTGGTCGGGGTGAGACGCCTCCTGATGAGAACAGCTGCATCTCCCATGCTCCCTTTGCACTGGTGGAGAGGGACAGGAAGGCCAGTAATGGGGAGCTGGATCAGGCCCCTTGATGCCCGCCCCTTGCACCTCCCAGCCAGGCTGCTCCAGAAACAAAAATCAAGGGGGACCAGGACAGTTTTGCCTGGAGGAAGCAAAACTTATTGGTCAGGCTCCTGACTGGGATTTAGCCCTTCCCAGCGAGAGCCCAGTTCGCAGGCGGGGCACAGGAGCACGGGAGCTAACTCACTCTACAAAGGGGGGGGGCTCGGCTCTGGAGCCACCTGCTCAGCTTGTAACAAAGCCCTTCGCCGCTGCCTTTGTGTCCCTCTCTGGGGACCCGACTCTCCAGCACCCTGGGTCCCAGTACAAAGGGATGCAAATCACCGTCCGATCCGGAGGCGGAGCCTTTCCACTGGTACTGGGGGCGCCGAGGCCCTGGTCCTGTGGACAGCGCGGGAGGCAGCACAGAACCCAGCTCCGGCCTCAGCAGCTGCACTTGCCACGCCAGGGGTCATGGAAGAAACTACTAGTTGGCATCCACAACGGCGGCCGATACGGGAGCACGCTGCAGGGGCTGCCCCTCCCTCCCCCCGGCGCCTTGGACCAGCAAGGCAGCTGAAGCACACGCCTGACTTCCGGCAAAGAGCCGGTCCATCTAAATCAATGAGCCGGAATCGAGCGGGCGTAAGTCAGCAGCGCTCCATTACAATTCCCTACGCTACCGTCCAGCCAAGGAAGGATGGGGCCAATGAGATCTGGCTTCACGTCCCTTCTCCGCCACAGAGTTCCTGGACAAGTCACTTTGCTTAGCCAGGCTGTGCTGCAGAATGGGACAACAGCGATGCCCTATTTCCCTACTGCCCTGGGAACTGCCCAGATGCCAGGGTGATAGAAACGTAAATGTAAACAGAGAGGAAAACGTACCTTGCTGAATTACGACCAATGTTCCCTGTAATTTTTTCCTTCTGTGTGTGAAATAAATTTTGTTCTGCGCACTGAGGCATGAACAGATGTGCACCCCCAGCAGAAACTCATGCTGCCAGCTGTGGGCGCTCTGCTAATTAGCAAGGCAGCACCTGAATCTCTCCTGGGTGGCCACCCAAGCACCCAGCTTACAGGGAACACTGGTCACAACCTGTCACTGGGCTTTTTAACAAAAGGGAGTGACAGCTGCTTTCCTGGCCCGAGGCAGGGGACGATTCCTTGGGCAGGAGAGAGATTTGGGGCCATTTTCCCGATAGATCCATTGGTTGAACCGAAAGCCACAGGAATCAGCACAAGGAGGATGAGTCATTGTGCTCAAATCCTGCAATTCAGCACATTCACCAGCGTTATCGTGGGGAGAGGGGAACGCGGGGGAATGATTCTCCGGGACACAAAAGGCCCTTTATGCCAGCCTGGCAGCGGAACCCAACCTGACACCCGCTGCAAGGCCCCTTACGCTGCTGAGTGGCGGGACGATGCCCTTGGTGCAAAGGAGGAACTGGGCCGGTTTGTCGCTATTTACAGAACACGCCGGGTCCATTACAAAGCCCCGAGACCAGCCCACAGCCCCTCCCCATTGCTAAAAAGTCTCTTTTCTTACAAACTAGTCAGCTCGTCATCGTTAAAAAACCGGGTCTGGAGAACCCCCGAGAAGAGCTGAGGGGGAGGTTCCCAGGCCGGTCGGCACGGCTGGTTTGTCGCGGCCGGCCGGCAGGGGGAGGTTTCCGTAGCAGCCACAATACTGGAGAGACGCTGCAGACGCTCCAAAACCCTCGCGTCAGTGGGTTAGAAAACAACCCCCGAGCAGCGGGGGACGTTGTGGAAACAGCCAGAGTCCAGACAGCAATTTTACAAAAAGGAAGCGGAGACGGTTCCTCGGACCCAGCCGCATTGGAGACGCCGCTGGGGAAGGGAGGAACAAAAGTAGCCCTTGAGTTTGGCGCCAAACGAGGGATCTTGTCCTGCCGAGAGGCTGTCCTCCGCGCTACCTGCCTCCCGGGAGGTTGCTACGAGAATCTGGGTTTTGGAGACAGCAGAGACGGGAAGGGAAGAGGTTCTGCCCCCTGCCAAGGGGGCAAGCAGAGACGGGGGGGAGGAGTCCCAGGACAGCACACTGGCTCTAGGAGGCTTGCTCCAGCTCTCCCTGCGTGCTGGTCTCTCCGCGCGCCGGTCGACAAAGGGAGAGTCCTGGGTATCACCTGCTTCTCCTCGGGCGCGCCAGCCCGTGACCTACCCGCCCCAGCGCAGTTCACACCGAGGTCTCTGACTGCAGCCTCATGACGAACTTATGTGACTTAGGGTCCACAAACTCCTCCGAGAGCTTGAAGAAGGGGATCTTCTTGATGCTCACCACCAGGCTGAAATCCTGGCGCTTGAGGACGAAGACGACCCCGTCCTTCAGGCCGTTGGTCACCGGCCCGACCACCGCCCACTGCTTGCCCAGCCAGCGGTCCTTGTGGTACTGGATGGTGGGGCCCGCGCTCACGTACCTCTCGGGGAAGGCCTGGGGGGAGGAGAGGGGCGTTGGCTGCTGGCTGGGTCAGGCCGGAAAAGGAGGCCTTGCAACATTGTCATGGAAACCCTCCAGCCTCAGCACAGCATCTACTAGCACGGCTGAGGCCAAGACCGGAGCTGGCTGTCCCACCGGGGCGCTCCACGGCCCC